GATGAGCATGTATATGGGTTCTCGGCAGCATCTTTCCTGATTTTGCTGCTGACTCCATTATCTTTCTTTTAAAATCAGATCCTTTGTTGGTGTATTTCTGTTTCAATTGACATGTCTCCCTCATTCTGCTGGTGATTGTTCCTGAAACCTTGAAGGAAAACTTGAGTTTTTTGCCCCCTCTTTACGCTAGCTCTGGTGATGTTTTTTTCCTTGTATGCCCAGCCCTTCCTCTCAATTTCTGATGTAGCCACCCTGGCTCAGGCTGCCTGCACTATGGAAATTACCTCCTAGGTCCTCCTCCCTTTCTGTCGCTCGCCTATCTCCATTTCAGTTCATTGGTTTTGGGGTTACAGAATTAATACTCCTAAAACCCTGTTTTGGTCTTCAAAGGTTCCTCTCCCTCTTAACCTTCACAACTGTAATTGATCTCTACTGTTTACCATCCAGGTATGTGGGGAGCTGCTTTAGCTTCAACTTAAGCTCTGAAATCATCAAGGAGATCTCACTGATGTTAATAAACAAGGACATCCTTTCCTCTGCTTGGAAGGGGTGGGATATGGGGAGAGAGGGGTAGGTACTGTGCTTACAAAACTTGATTGACGGAAGAGGTGCCGTTCTCTTCTCTGTTGGCACTGATGAGAAAGATATATAAGGATTTCCCTGGTAGTCCAGTGGTTAAGACTTCACCTTCCAGTATAAGGGGAGCAGGTTCGATCCCTGGTCAGGGAACTAAGATCCTACATGCCTCTCATCCAGGACAACTAAAACATAAAACCGGAGCAATATTGTAACAAACCCAATAAAGACTTTTTTAAAAAAGGAAGAAGTATGGTAGTGACATGCATCTTGAAGCTATATTAAGGAGAACTTTGAGGTCTACTGGAAGATTTCAGTCTCCTTGTTCAAGGCCTGTAAGATGCGTATAAACTCTTCATGCTTCCTGACAGCTTGGCACCTGTCATCTTCTCCAAGCTTGTTTTCCATTAACTACTCACAAGAGATTCCTTTGGTAGGCAAAATGGTTTTTTTGTTTTGTGAATACCAACATTCTTCTGTACCACTGATGATGATGCCCAGATGTCCTTTTTCTTTTAAAAACCATAGTTTTTCCAGTATTCCCAGTATGCCCCAGGTCTTTCTCTGTCATCACCAGTACCACATGTATTATCTGAACTTCTGAAACTTAACACCCATTGGTTTCTAATATCCTTTTTGTTCATTCAGTAAAAATATATTGAGTGCATATTACATATCAAGTAATGTGATGGCAGTTCAACTGAAAAAGACAATTTCCTTGTCCTTAAGAGTTTACATTTTAATGAGAGAAAAAATGTACCACCAAGTAAGAGCATGTAGGATTGAGAAGAACCAGATAATCTAGTTTGGAGTAGGTAGAGGACGGCCAGGGAAGGTTTTCTCTAGGTAAGCAATTTTTAGAACTAAAATCGCCTGAAATTGTATGGAGGTATATTTTGATCCTTGTGTTTAGTATTTAAAGCTTTTTATTCCTTTGACCCTTATTTAAATATTTTATTTTTTTATTTATTTACTTGCTTACTTTTTGTCCCCTTGTTCTTAAATGTTAACTTTTGTGAACTTTTGTGTCCCTGAATGAATGTGGCAACCAACTGGTTGCTGTCTTCTTTAAAATGGCTCTCCGAATGTTAATCCAGGAGACACCTTTCAGTGTTCTTGAGACAAAATAAACCTAATTTCCTCAAGTGCCACAGCTGTGTTACTATTTGGAATTTTTATACTGTTGAATCTTAAAGAACTCATGGATAGGCTGACCCCAAAAATCAAATTGCTGGGGTTTCGTTAAAACCAGCTTCTGCTTCATTGGGGTGGGGCGGGACTGCGGTTTTATTTTTCTAAAAAGCTTCCTGGTGATGCTGAAGCTGCTCATTGACTGAATATGTTTTGAGTAGCAGAGTTTCAGAGGATGTGAAGAGATTAAGAACTAAGATAAAAGGCAAGTTGAAGGTATATTTCCGTCTACTTATATGGATGAATACAGCAGTTTGCATATCCTAACTCTCATTCACTCGCTCTCATCTAAATCACCTAATTACCCAGCTGGGTTGGGCTCCTATCCCTGCTCCAAGAGACAAGTGAATATTGCCAGTGATTTGACTATTCTGCTGTCCACCCCACTCACCACCCCAGGGGTGAATCTTCTCTGTGTCATGGGGACCTGTGATAAGATGCACCCACATAATTGAGGCTGTGATATTATTCCCTGAGGCCCTCTGCCACTGAGTAATAGGAAACGGTAACTTTGGCAGGAGGAAGTGTTCCTTTTGGCGCGCTGCCTCCCTCCAACTGGTTTCTATAACAGTTGGGCTTCAGGAATGGCTTCTGAAGCAAGTCTGTATCCTACAATGTGTAATCAGGAACTGGCAGAAATTTTAACTTTTAAGATTCCCGTTAGAAAATCTCATGACTTGTTAGGAATCTTGGCAGTTGAGTGACCTGCCCATGACCTGGAAAAGAAACCTGCCACAGTGAATGGAACTGTCGTGTTATTCTGCCTGAGTATTTTCCCTGATGATTTTATATGGATCTTTTCCTGACTTCTATTCTGCAAATATTCTTACAGACTGCAATCAGGAAAGCTGTTACTACAGTCCTTTTCTTCCTAAGTGTTTACGACTAAAGCTAGAATTATTTCTGTTGCCTTCCTTGGGAGCTTTCTTATGGAATTCCCCTCACAGATTGGATTACCACAATGTCTTTTAGATTCAAGAATTCTGTCTCAGTACAGAATGAGAAATGTTGTTGATGTCAGGCTGGTGAGGAGGAGTTGATAAATGGCCTGGTACAAGGGTTTTCAAACTCCAGCCTGTATCCCTTAGGGGCCCTGCATCTCTATAGAGGTTCTGATTCAGCAGGTCTGGAGCAAGCTGGAGATTTTGTGCCCATCCTCAGATGTGGTTACATGAAAGGCAGCAGTAATGACTAGAGAGGTGGGCACATGTTCACAATAGCACATGGATTGTGCATTATGGTCACCATCATTACCTCCCAATACTTATAGATTTGTTAGTTGCTTTTTATTTTTTATTTTTTTTAGGTTAAGTAAGTAAAATGTTTGTTAAGAGGAAAAAGAATCCAGCACGCGTAGACAGACACGTGGGTGGACTCGGGGAGAGAGAGGCACTGAGTCAGGCCCTCGTTGTGACTTGGATTACTTTTATGGGACATTTCTTCCGGGTTTCCTTTGGCCAGTCATTTCAATTTGCCTGGTTCTCAGTCCATACTTGGTCTATCTCAGAATTCTCCCACGTGCGCACACATCTCTTAGACAAGATGGTTTTACCACAAAGGCGTCTGGGTAGAACATCCCTTGACATGAGATCCCCCTTTCTGTTAGTTGCTTTTAAAAAAAACAAAACAAACCTCTGAGACCTAAGGAAGCAACACCTCCTCTCATGTTGAAACATTAACGTGATCAGTAACCCAGACCACCTCTTATGAGGCTTCTTGGTTTGTGATAGTAGAGACCTGTATCTAGAGTAAGGGTATATTAGAGCATAGAATAGGGGCATGTGGGAAACTTGCTCCTTACCCACCTTCCTGTCACAGAAATACATGTTGGGCTTGGTCTATTTTTTGTTTTTAAGATTTGTTTAGTTTTATTTTATTTATTTATTGTTTGGCTGCACTGGGTCCTTATTGCTGCAGACTTTCTCTAGTTGCGGAGAACAGGAGCTACTTTGGAGTTGCGGTGCTCTGGCCTCTCATTGAGGTGGCTTTTCTTACTGTGGGGCACAGGCTCCAGGTCGTGTGGGCTTCGATAGTTGTGGCTCATGGGCTCGGTAGTTACGACTCATGGGCTTAGTTGCCCCTTGGCATGTGCAATCTTCCCAGACCAGGGATGGAACCCATGTCCCCTGCATTAGCAGGTGGATTCCTGGCCACTGGACCAGCAGGAAAGTGCCATTGGGTGTTGTTGGGGTTTTTTATACAATTTTTAAAGACCACTTTCCATTTACATTTATTACAAAATATTGGCCATATTCCCCATGTTGTGCAATGCATTTGAGTCTGTCCTACACCCAGTGTATTGTACCTTCCCCCTGCCACTAGTAACCACTAGTTTGTTCTCTGTATCTGTGAGTCTGTCTTTTTAATGTTATATTCACTGGTTTGTTGTTAAAAAAAAAAACCTAACAAACATGTTTTTCAAGATGATCCATTTTAAATCCAAGATGAATTTGGGGTTTTGACAACTGAGATGGGGAAAGGGAAGGGAGAGTTTGACTGACCTCTTTCCATCCTTCCAGATCCCTTAGATGTGCTTTGCTTACCTCACACAATTTGTTTATGTGTGTATGTGTCTGTGTGTTAGTCACTCAGTCGTGTCTGACTCTTGCAACTCCATGGACTGTAGCCCACCAGGCTCCTCTGTCCATGGAATTCTCTAGGCAAGAATCCTGGAGTGGGTTGCCATTCCCTTCTCTAGGGGATCTTCCTGACCCAGGGATTGAGCCTGGATCTCCTGCATTGCAGTCAGACTCTACCATCTGATTCACCAGGGAAGCCCATATATATACACATACGTGTGTGTGTGTGTGTGTGTGTGTGTGTGTTTAATTTTTATTTATTTGTTTTTGACTGTGCTTGGTCTTCCCTGCTGTGTCAGCTTTTCTCTAGTTGTGGCGAGCAGGGGCTACTCTATAATTGCAATGCGCGGGCTCCTCATTGTGGTGGCTTCTCTGTGGAGCAGAGGCTCTAGGGCATGAAGGCTTCAGTAGTTGTAGCATGTGGGCTCACTAGTTGCGGCTCCCCGGCTCTGGAGCACAGGGTCAGTAGTGGCACATGGGCTTAGCTGCTCCATGACACATGAGATCTTCCTGGATCAGGGATCAAACCTGTGTCTTCTGCATTGGCAGGCAGATTCTTTACCATTGAGTCCCTCGGGAAGCCCTCACAATTTGTTTTTTGGTAGGATTTCTTGTTCTCAAGGATGTCTAATGCAATATTTTCTATTGAAGCAGTTCTGGAGCATCCCAGGAGGGACACAGTGATCTGGACCTTGGTCTTGGTGACCTTCCTTCAGATGAAGAGGAAGTCATCAACAGTTCAGATGAAGATGATGTCAGCTCTGCTTCTAGTAAAGGGGAGCCTGATCTGCTGGACGATAAACAGGTATGTTGTTGGTATTTAAAAGTTTCTACTTTTGTGTTTTTTGGCCTCAGGACACTCAGAAGTAATATTTATTATCATGATAGGCATAAAATCCTTCCTTAGTTTTCAAAACCTTGTAAAACATCTTTCTAGTTTAATTCTTGCTATACATGCCTGAGATGTTTTCCTATTTCAAAGAACGTATCATTTAGAGATTATTTAGTAATTTTCGAGAAATTGTTTTTGGTAATGTCCTTTGATTTTCTTTTGATAATAAAAACCCTTCTTAGGATTTCTTCCTGTACTGCCAGTGATTCTATTTGTAAGAAAGGAATTAGATGCATTTCATACTCAATCAGATCTTTTTAGGGATAGAATAAAAATTGCTGTCAGTAGTACCTCAAGATGTGCTTTGAAATAATCCACTATGTGTGTGTTTTCTGTATACATGAAGTGGGATTGTCCACATACTGGTAATTATTTAAGATGTATAACAGATACGTGGGTGTTCATGACACTTTTTCTAGTTTGATATGAATATGTTTCATTTTAAATCATAATTCTTTGAATAAAGAAATAGTTGCAATGGAAAAAATTAGTGTTACCAGCAATATCCCCAGAATGTGTTGAAATGTTACAGGAAAATGGAATTTGAAAGGATTCACATAGCAAACTTATCAAGCCCTAGAGAAAATCCATGTCACTTAACTCTGGTGTCATAATTCATGAGACCATTGTGCTTCCTCTTTACTATAGTTTTGCTTTGTTTAAATTAACTTTTAGCCTTAAGTGATTAGCACATGTTTTGTAATTGTCTAGATTTAAATTCAGTGCCACCACCTATGATCTCAATAGCCTTGGGCAAATTATGTAACCTCTTTGAGCTAAAGAACTCAATGTTATGAAGAAAAATATAGTACTTATTTCATAGAATTGTGTCAACTAAATTAGTTGATATATGTAAAGTCTTGGAATACTGTCCAGAACGTGATAAGAATGCATTGACTCTGATATTTATTAATCACAAGACTTCATTTCTGTGCTCTAAAGTATTGGATCATGGAGTTGGCGGAACCACTAGTTTCTTTTGGGGGGTGATAAAAATGTACTAAACTTAGCTTGTGGTAATGGTTGTACAACCCTGAATATTTAAACCATTTAGTTATGTATTTTAAAAAGACAAAAATATATTTATGAAATGTAAATTACATCTCAGAAAAGTTGTTAAAGGAAGATTAAAATCCTGATAAAGGGAAAATAATTGTGCTAAGAGAAAGGTTAGTACAGAGGAGGAGGGCATAGCAACCCACTGCAGTATTCTTGCCTGGAGAATCCCATGGACAGAGGAGCCTGGCGGGCTACAGTCCATGGGGTCGCAGAGTCAGACATGACTGAGTGACTGAGGACAGCACATGCATATCATACAGTCCTATGTACATCAGCCAAGGCGGGACCACAAATGTGGCTGTAGCCAGCCAGTAACTCAAGGAAAAAAGGTGATGGTTTCCAAAAGAAGTCTTTGGAGTAGAAGCATAGTAGTAGACCTTCTTTTATAACCTTTTTGATTTTAAATTTCTCAGTTTATTCAGCAGGACAGTAATGTTGTTCTGAGTCTCAGGCAGGCTAATAGTTGCCAAAACATTTCGCAAGTCTTCATGACCCAAAGAAATTTATGCACATTAAACACATGTAATATACTTCTGTGCTTGTGTTTATGGTCGATTGTATTAGTTTCGTAGGGAAGTTGTTACAGAGTACCACAAACTGAATGTCTTGAAAACAGAAATATAATTATTTAACAGTTCTGGAGGTCAAAATTCCAAAATCAGGGTGTTGGCAAGGCTGAGCTCTCTCTGAAACCTGCAAGGAAGAATCTTTCCTTATCTCTTGTTGTGATTTGCCGGCCGGCCGTGGAGTTCCTTGGCTTATAGCTACAGCACTTCAGTCCTGCCTCCATCATCACATGGTGTGCTGCCTCTGTGTGTGTGTGTGTCTGTGTCTCCTCTTCTTATAAGGAAACTAGTCTTACTAGATTGGGAGCATACCATGGTCCAAAATGACCTCTTTTTTTTTTTTTTTTTTAGTTTCTATAGAAGAAAGTTGTTTTGTTTTTTCTTCATTTATTTTTATTAGTTGGAGGCTAATTACTTTACAATATTGTAGTGGTTTTTGCCATACATTGACATGAATCAGCCATGGATTAACACGTGTTCCCCATCCCGATTCCCCCTCCCATCTCCCTCCCCATCCCATCCTTCTGGGTCTTCCCAGTGCACCAGCTCTGAGCACTTGTCTCATGCATCCAACCTGGGCTGGTGATCTGTTTCACCCTTGATAGTATACTTGTTTCAATGCTGTTCTCTCAGAACATCCCACCCTCGCCTTCTCCCGCTGAGACCCAAAGTCTTTTCTGTACATCTGTGTCTCTTTTTCTGTTTTGCATATTGGGTTATCGTTAACCATCTTTTAAAATTCCATATATATGTGTTAGTATACTGTATTGGCAAAATGACCTCATTTTTAACTTACTACATCTGAAACAAGGCTATTTCCAAATCAGGTCACATTCTGAGGTTCTGGGGGTTAAGACTTGAACATTAATTTTGGAGGGACTTATTTCAAACTATAGCAAATACCATATGCCAGGACATATAATGGGCACATCACAAATATGTGTCTAGGTGCCAATAACATTCCCTCACGAAAGTGCCAGACTCAGTAGGAGAAAAGAAAGAATGTGTGCTGCTGAGCCCTTATCTATCACTTGTGAAGGAACTACAAACTAATGTTCAGAAAGTTATTCCTGGAAAGGTAAAAGTGCCACCATAAAGGCAAGAAAACTGCCGTCTACCACATCTGTGTGTCTGTGCCTGTCTGTGTGCAGGTTATTATACTTAATCTTCAAAATTGTCCTGGGATATGGATTTGACAACTGTACTGTTTTTTCTCTTCTTCACATGAAGAAAGGGGCTTTTTAAAAACAGGTTAAATAACTTGCCTTGGAACCTCTGGAACTGAGGTTTTTAGCCAAAACCTGTCACTGCTAATAACTTAGTTTGAGCCACAGAATCTGAATGATGTTGATGGAACATGTTTGGGATGGAAGGAGTAGCCATGCTAATTTTTTCTTTCCAATTTTTTAGTTTTATATTTTTTAGTCTTTATTTTCAGTACTTAATAAATGATTGTTTAAAAATGAGATCTGTTATTCATTCTGCTTCGTTATGGTTAGAGTATTCACCACTATTCACCCCTCCTAAATATTGACTTCTCTGCCTCCCTCCCCCACAATTTTTTGTGTGTGTGTGTAACAGCTCATATAATACATACCATGAAGAGAGAGGTGAAAACCTAAGAGGACTTTTTTTTTTAGTTCATCATGGTGTCACCTCATTTGTGGGATTATTTAATGATATGGAGATGTTTCTTGGGCAATCTAGTTGTTCAGTTTTTTTATTTTTAGTAGAACTCAAGTGATATAGCAGAGGTCTTTTACGAATTCTGTTTTAAAGTAATGGATAAATTTCACTGGATTTTACTTGTGAACAAATATGAAAAGAAGAGAACACAGTTAAGAATTACAAAGCTGGACTGTTATCAGGAGATCAGAACATAAAACTAAATTTCAGATCAAAGGTTCTGTTTGGAATTTGTTTGGATTATTTTATGACATTAACAAAGTAATCTCATTTGTGACTCTTGTTTCAACTTCCATGACCTGTGTACTTGGGGACATGCAGTTATCTAACAGGCAGCCTCCTTTGAAATGTGATGTAGTTTTAAGTGAGGATTTACATTGACAGAGAAGTTAAGACACCAAATAAGGCCTCTCTCTTGAGGTTTTACAGTGGGATGTACTTTCCCGTCATAGTTTGACTTGGGTCAGAATCATGGTTCTTACAAGTTGGAGTTAATATAGAGCTTTTTATTTTGTTTTATGATTATCTTTGGCTTTGTCTCTACTTTGGAATCCTCTGAATCATTTTCTAGTAGTTTCCGTCCTTCTTTAGCTCTGCCATCTTCCTCGTTTAAAAGGTAAAGTAGAAAACAGAATATACAGATTCCTAGAAGTTTAGAATTGCAGCAGCAAACCTTTAATCATCTAGTCCAACATTCTGTTCTTTTACATGAAACAGCTGTAATGAGCCTTTTGTTTGTTTGAATTTACATTTTCATGTTACTCAGAAGTAGTGCTCTCTGGTCTTAGTTTCTAAGAAAATGGTAGCCACCCTTGTACACTTGCTCATTCATGCATCTTAAGTGCAGAGTGAACCAGGCACTGTGCTTGGTGCATAAGGGGGCAAGGGTGAATAAGATCACAGACTAAAGAGGATTTAGACATGTCGGCAAATTAAACACAACCCACTGGGTTAAGTCCTATAAACTCTACACCAGTAAGAGAATAATCTTGTCATCCAAATGACATCCCCAAGGATGGTAGGGAGAGAATATAAAGGCAGCCTTTGTCAAGGAGAAAACTGAGTGCCTGCCACTTTAAAAGATGGGTTGGAATATAATGAGCAGAAATCTTTGGGAGAGGTGGAGGCGGTAAGGAGGGAAGTCGAAGCAGGACAGACATGTAAGGGCAGAGCACACTTGGAGTTTCAAGGTGGTTCCCGTTTGGCTGGAGTAGTGAGTACACAGTGTGGAGGAGTAGAAATGAGACTAGTGAAGATAACTAGACCCTCATTGTAGAATGTCTTACATACATCGAAAAGAAAGTTCGGTGATAGGGGGCTGCTAATGTGCTTCAGCCTGAGAACAGATGTGATTATATTCGCAGTTTAGAACCTTGTAGTCTAGTGGCAGTGCAGAGAATGGTTGCAATGGGGGTAAATCTAGAGCAAGAAAGCCACTGAGATTACTGCAGTAGTGTAGACCGGAAATAAGGAGGCAATATGAAAGGAGAGGAAAGTATTAATAAATTATTCAGAAGTACAGATCAACAGAGCTCAGTGATTCAGTTGTGATCATAGAGGGTGGAGAAGAGAGTCGAGTCAGGTTTCTGGCTTTGATCAGTGCATATGTATAGTATCTGGCATATGAGTATTTTATGGCTGTTTAAGGAGTGACATCAAATTTTTTATTCTTTGTGAATCTTTTCCTGATTATGATCCTTGTCTCCTTCAAGATATCAGCACATTTCACAGTTGTCCTTATATGTGAAAAGTGAAAGTATTAGTCACTCAGTCCTATTGGACTCTTCAGCTCCATGCACTGTGGCCCACCAGGTTCCTTTATCCATGGACTTCTCCAGGCAAGAATACAGGAGTGGGTTGCCATTTCCTTCTCCTGGGGATCTTCTTGACCCAGGAATCAAACTCTTGTCTCCTGCATTGCAGGCAGATTTTTAACCATCTGAGCCATCAGGGAAGTCCATGTCCTTATGTATAGTAATTTGTATGTGTGGTTTGCTCCCTTGTTCACTTCTTGAAGCCTGGAGCTATTTCTTATTTATGTTCAATCCCTTCTTCTAGCATCTACTTTCATGCCCCATTTCAGAAGTACAAAATCAGAATTTCCAAGACAGTTACCTAGGAATCTGAAAATTAAGAGTTGCCCAGTGGTTTTATTTATTTTTTAATTAATTAATTTATTTTAATTGTAGGCTAATTACTTTACAATATTGTAGTGGTTTTTGCCATACATTGACATGAATCAGCCATGGGTGTACATGTGTTCCCCATCCTGAACCCCCCTCCCTCTCTCTCCCCATCCCATCCCTCAGGGTCATCCCAGTGCACCAGCCCTGAGCACCCTGTCTCATGCATTGCCTGGTGGTTTTAATGATCAGAAGTGTTTTCAGATGCAGAGCAATGAATTAGCTGATGGTGAAGCTGTTTTCTCCTACTAACCACGCTATCAGATGATGGATCAGTTCAGTTCAGTTGCTCAGTTGTGTCCCAACTCTTTGTGACCCCATGGACTGCAGCACGCCAGGCTTCCCTGTCCATCACCAACTCCCGGAGCTTGCTCAAACTCATGTCCATTGAGTCGGTGATGCCATCCAACCATCTCATCCTCTGTTGTCCCCTTCTCCTCCTGCCTTCAATCTTTCCCAGCATCAGAATCTTTTCCAGTGAGTTAGCTCTTCACATCAGATGCCCAAAGTATTGGAGCTTCAGCTTCAGCACCAGTCCTTTCAATGAATATTCAGGACTGATTTCCTTTAGGATTAACTGGTTTGATTTTGCAGTCCAGGGGACTCCAAGAGTTTTCTCCAACACCACAGTTAAAAAGCATCAATTCTTTGGTACTCAGTTTTTTTATGATTCAACTCTTACACCCATACATGACTACTGGAAAAACCATAGCTTTGACTAGACGGACCTTTGTCAGTAAAGTAATGTTTCTGCTTTTTAATATGCTCTCTAAGTTTGTCATAGCTTTTCTTCCCAGGAGCAGGTGTCTTTTAATTTCATAGCTGCAGTCACCATCTGCAGTGATTTTGGGTAGTGAATTACTAACTTCAGATTTTTAAATGATAGAGTAAAAATGGTACATTCTTCCTCTTGGGAATGATTTCAGAATAACAAAGAGGATGGGGATAAGAAATATAAACTCTGCCTTCAGTGATATTAGGAGGCAGCTGCAACCCAAAATAACAACGAGAGTGTTAGTCACTCAGTCTTGTCTTACTGTTTGAGACCCCATGGACTGTAGCCCGCCAGGCTCCTCTGACAATGGGATTCTCCAATCAAGAATACTGGAGAGGGTTGCCATGCCCTCCTCCAGGGGAGCTTCCCAACACAGGGATCAAACCCATATCTCTTATGTCTCCTGCACTAACAGGCAGATTCTTTACCACTGAGCCACCAGGGAAGCCCAAACAACAGAAATTTATTGTCTCAGTTCTAGAGGGGAAATGTCCAGGATTAGTGTATCAGCAGAGCTGAAGACTATGAGGGAACAATCTGTTCCAGGAAGAGCATATTTCTAAAAGGTATTTTCAGTAAGTTGAGAAAGCCTATGGCTGTGATGTGTGCAGTTATAGCCTACTGAAGAGCACTTTCCAGTCTGCACTTAAGTTGTCTGACTTAAGATGGCTTTACTGAAGGTGAAGTACTCTTATACATGCCTACTAAATAGTTACTAAGTAAACTTACTTGCCTGCACCCCAAGAACACAAGTTTATGCGGTGTCTATAGGGATCATTTTCCCAGCAGAATGTAGCTTCACTTTTGTGCCACTAACAGTGTGCCCCACTGAGGCTCTGGGGTTCCTCAGGGTAGTCCACAAGCCCAGCATTGATAATAGTGAGGATTACTGATTGCTCTCAGCTTCTCCTGTATCTTGGTTTAATAACCAGATCTAATTCTTCATGTTTGCCATTTGAGACATTATATAGTATGAAATGTGTTCTAATTGAAATCTATTAAAAAAAGAAAGAAAGAAACCTATAAGTATCAGAGCTTGAATGTACATCTGAATAACTCCAGGCTGTTCTTCCTTATCCTTTTATGAGTTCATGCTTTCTTAATGCACTCTTATCCACAGGGTGAAGATACTGGAATGAAATGTAAAGTCCATCATATTGCCAAGGAGATCATGAGCTCAGAAAAAGTGTAGGTATCCAGTTTCCAATTCAGAAAACTATTTGTTTCCTCACTGGCTCATTTAAAACATGTCTCTTATTGCTGTTTTTTACAGGTTTGTGGATGTGTTAAAACTTTTGCATATTGTAAGTATCTGCTAATATTTTCTTGAAGTCTGACTATCCTCTTTTACATCTTTCCCTATCCTTCAATATGTTCAGTGTCATTAAATTAACATGTATATACACGTATGTGCTTTCTAGTACATGGTTATATTAGTAAATTCACACATTTATGTGAAGACAGAAATTTTCTAAAGTGCATTAATCTCATGTGTGTGTAGTATGCCAGATGACTTCTGAAAAATAGAGCCTTTATATTTGTATCTCCAAATCTTTAAACTTTTTATCCTCATAATAAAGAGTTATTACAAGGATAATATTTCTTCTCGGCCATTTGCAGAAGATCTCTGCTACAGTAGAATTTTGTACAGCAATGGGTAAAGAATGTTGGTGTTCAAAACTGTTCTTCTATATGAACAATCTCCTAGAAAGACACTTAAAATAGATATTTTAAAAACAAAACTTTTTTAAAGTTCTATTTTCAATTTTTGTAATTGTAAACTTGAACAAACCTGTTGGGAAACAGCTACTGTGTCTGGCTGCATGTTCATTTTTCTCATGCACTCCTTTGTACCTGCAAGTTTTCACAAGTTTCATACTCATTGGCAGTTAAAGTGCTTTTGGCGTTAACTTTGTTTTAGTTATATTTTAGCTGGATATTAAGATTTAGAAAAGAAAAATTTGAAATAGAGAAAACAATGTAAAAGAAATGGAAGTGAATTAAATTACCATCCAAGTTTACTTAGATGGCAGTTATTAACTGAATTATTGAGGAATGGTAGGTTTACAAAATATATACCCATTTATGTCTCTGAAAAGAGTATAATTTTCTGTTTTCTTTTATATAAACATGAAAAGAGGGTTACACTTAAAGGTGGGTAACATTCACCAAACAATCCCCTCTGCGCTGTACTTGGTCCAGTGGGCACATGGAGACCTGTTTCCTATGTGAAAAATCTCTAGCTTTGGAAGATTTTTCTTAAAACTTTCTTAGCATTGCTAATTTGTTTTTCCCTTGAATTGTTTTTCATGTAACCCTTGACTATACTGGTAGGTTCCCTTTTAAAATTAATTTACACACACACACACACACACACACACACACACACACACACACATGGCAATATTTGGTCACCCTGAGCTGTTGATGACAACCATATTGTCATTTAAAAAAAAAATGATAAACTTGGTAAATAAATACTTTTGAAAATAAACTGCATATGTATTGGCTGCTATGCCCCAACCGTCTCTATTGTATAGGGAATTGTAGAGGGAGAAGGAGAAGAAAATGCTAAACTGCTGTTTCCTGGAAAACTTAGAATTTATCTCTAGGATGAGCACATTATATCTATTTTACACATTTTCTGATAGTCATGGTTAAATAGATGGAAGACCTCCTCAAGGAAATTTGAAGCATCTGCAAGTGAATGAGGAAACTGGTAGAGGCAAAAATTGCTATATAACTTCACTGTGCTATTTGATCAAACCTTGCATGGAATATATGTTCAGGATGCTTCTAGTCTAATATAGTGATTCTCACACTGCTTTGGTGAGCAAATGAATATTTAAATTGCACATCCATGGTGGACCAAAACTTTTGTAAAACGCAATAAAAATTTAGTTCAGTTTAGTTGCTCAGTCTTGTCCAACTCTTTGCAACCCCATGAATCACAGCACGCCAGGCCTCCCTGTCTTATCACCAACTCCCAGAGTTTACTCAAACTCACATCCATCAAATCAGTAATGCCATCCAGCCATCTCATCCTCTGTCGTCCCCTTCACCTCCTGCCCCCAATCCCTCCCAGCATCAGGGTCTTTTCCAATGAGTCAGCTCTTCGCATGAGGTGGCCAAAGTATTGGAGTTTCAGCTTCAGCATCAGTCCTTCCAATGAACACCCAGGATTGATCTCCTTTAGGATGGACTGGTTGGATCTCCTTGCAGTCCAAGGGACCATCAAGAGTCTTCTCCAACACTGCAGTTCAAAAGCATCAATTCTTCAGTGCTCAGCTTTCTTCACAGTCCAACTCTCACATCCATACATGACCACTGGAAAAACCATAGCCTTGACTAGACGGACATTTGTTGGCAAAGTAATGTTTCTCCTTTTTAATATACTGTCTAGGTTGGTCATAACTTTCCTTCCAAGGAGTAAGCGTCTTTTAATTTCATGGCTGCAGTCAGCATCTGCAGTGATTTTGGAGCCCAAAAAACTAAAGTCAGCCACTGTTTCCACTGTTTTCCCATCTATTTCCCATGAAGTGATGGGACTAGATGCCATGATCTTAGTTTTCTGAATGCTGAGCTTTAAGCCAACTTTTTCACTCTCATCAAGAGGCTCTTTAGTTCTTCTTCACTTTCTGCCATAACGGTAGTGTCATCTGCACATCTGAGGTTATTAATATTTCTCCCGGCAATCTTGATTCCAGCTTGTGCTTCTTCCAGCCCAGCGTTTCTCATGATGTACTCTACATATAAGTTAAATAGGCAGGGTGACAATATACAGCCTTGACATACTCCTTTTCCTATTTGGAACCAGTCTGTTGTTCCATGTCTAGTTCTAACTGTTGCTTCCTGACCTGCATATAGGTTTCTCAAGAGGCAAGTCAGGTAGTCTGGTATTCCCATCTCTTTCAGAATTTTCCACAATTTGTTGTTATCCACACAGTCAAAAGCTTTGGCATAGTCAATAAAGCAGAAATAGATGGTTTTCTGGAACTCTCTTGCTTTTTCGATGATCAGCGGATGTTGGCAATTTGATCTCTGGTTCCCCTGCCTTTTCTAAAACCAGCTTGAACATCTGGAAGTTCACAGTTCATGTATTGTTGAAGCCTGGCTTGGAGAATTTTGAGCATTACTTTACTAGCGTGTGAGATGAGTCCAATTGTGCGGTAGTTTGTGCATTCTTTGGCATTGCCTTTCTTTGGGATTGAAATGAAAACTGACCTTTTCCAGTCCTGTGGCCACTGCTGAGTTTTCCAAATTTGCTGGTATGTTGAGTGCAGCACTTTCACAGTATCATCTTTCAGGATTTGAAATAGCTCAACTGGAATTCCATCACATCCACTAACTTTGCTCATAGTGATGCTTTCTAAGGCCCACTTGACTTCACATTCCAGGATGTCTGGCTCTAGGTGAGTGACCATACCATGGTGATTATCTGGTTCATGAAGATCTTTTTTGTGCAGTTCTTCTGTGCATTCTTGCCACCTCTTCTTAATATCTTCTGCTTCTGTTAGGTCCATACCATTTCTGTCCTTTATTGAGCCCAACTTTGCATGAAATGTTCTCTTGCTATCTCTAATTTTCTTGAAGAGATCTCTAGTCTTTCCCATTCTGTTGCCTCTATTTCTTTGCATTGGTTGCTGAGGAAGGCTTTCTTATCTTTCCTTGCTATTCTTTGAAACTCTGCATTCAAATGGGAATATCTTTCCTTTTCTCCTTTGCTTTTCACTTCTCTTCTTTTCACAGCTATTTGTAAGGCCTCCCCAGACAGCCATTTTGCCTTTCTGCATTTCTTTTCCATGGGGATGGTCTTAATCCCTGTCTCCTGTACAATGTCACGAACCTCCGTCCATAGTTCATCAGGCACTCTGTCTATCAGATCTATTCCCTTAGATCTATTTCTTATTTCCACTGTATAATCATAAGGGATTTGGCTTAGGTCATACCTAAATGGTCTAGTGGTTTTCCCTACTTTCTTTAATTTCAGTCTGAATTTTTCAATAAAGAGTTCATGATCTGAGCCACAGTCACTCCTGGTCTTGTTTTTGCTGACTGTATAGAGCTTCTCCATCTTTGGCTGCAAAGAATATAATCAGTCTGATTCCGGTGTTGACCATCTGGTGATGTCCATGTATAGAGTCTTCTCTTGTGTTGTTGCAAGAGAGTGTTTGCTATGACCAGTGTGTTCTCATGGCAAAACTCTATCAGCCTTTGCCCTGCTTCATTCATTACTCCAAGGCCAAATTTGCCTGTTACTCCAGGTGTTTCTTGACTTCCAACTTTTGCATTCCAGTCCCCTATAATGAAAAGGACATACTTTTTGGGTGTTAGTTCTAAAAGGTCTTGTAGGTCTTGATAGAACCATTCAATGTCAGCTTCTTCAGCATTACTGGTTGGGGCTTAGGCTTGGATTACTGTGATATTGAATGGTTTGCCTTGGAAATGAACAGAGATCATTCTGTCGTTTTTGAGATTGCATCCAAGTACTGCATTTCAGACTCTTTTGTTGACCATGATGGCTACTCCATTTCTTCTAAGGGATTCCTGCCCACAGTAGTAGATATAACGGTCATCTGAGTTAAATTCACCCATTCCAGTCCATTTTAGTTCGCTGATTCCTCGAGTGTCAACATTCACTCTTGCCATCTCCTGTTTGACCACTTCCAATTTGCCTTGATTCATGGACCTAACATTCCAGGTTCCTATGCAGTGTTGCTCTTTACAGCATCAGGCCTTGCTTCTATCACCAGTCACATCCACAACTGGGTATTGTTTTTGCTTTGGCTCCATCCCTTCATTCTTTCTGGAGTTATTTCTCCACTGATCTCCAGTAGCATATTGGACACCTACCAACCTGGAGAGTTCCTCCTTCAGTATCCTATCATTTTGCCTTTTCATGCTGTTCATGGGGTTCTCAAGGCAAGAATACTGAAGTGGAGTATAAAGTGAAGTCCATTTCCTTCTCCAGTGGACCACATTCTGTCAGACCTTTCCACCATGACCCAGCCGTCTTGGGTGGCCCCACACGGCATGGCTTAGTTTCATTGAGTTAGACAAGGCTGTGGTCCTGTGATCAGATTGGCTAGTTTTCTGTGATTATGGCTTCAATGTGTCTGCCCTCTGATGCCCTCTCGCAACACCTACCCTCCTACTTGGGTTCCTCTTACCTTGGACGTGGGGTGTCTCTTTGCGGCTGCTCCTTACCTGGGACGAGGGGTACCTCCTCATGGCCGCCCCTCCTGACCTTGAATGTGGAATAGCTCCTCTCGGCCCTCCTGCAACTGTGCAGCTGCCGCCCCTT